AACAGGGGACTCAATTGTCACTCATCCGATATCAATATCTTGTATGAACTGATTGTTGAATGCCAGGGGCACTTGCTTAAAAATCTCCAATCCACGGTCGCTTTCAGGTTTGCTTGCGATCTTTTAGTAGCAGCAGCAAACTGCACTGGGTCTCGATCGCTGGATTCGGAAATTTGGAGGCACATCCTTACCGCTGCGCCACCGATCATCGCCGTAGAAATTGCTGCATCACTTAGAGGTTGCTACCGCCTCTTCACCCGTTTTAAACCTCTATTCATGAATAAACCAGTGAATAAACTGTGTACTTCTCGATGATTCGATAAGCTGTTCCTCAGAATAGACGGATGAAAAGGTGTTTCACAACTATTTCAATTTAACCCACGGACCACGCAGATTTTTGGATCACTGTGTTCTGGATATTACTTTTACTTCGGATCATTGTGTTTTAGTGTATTTCTGTGTGAATTGTGCACCTATATTTTTTACTGTATTTTCTAATCGGTGAAACTTTGGTAGATATCCTTTGGCTAATTTCCCAGATCTCATTGATTGGCCCTACTTCCACCTGTATCCACCATCTTGGATTTGCTCTACATTGTGATGCCGTCTCAAGCTATTTGTAGTTCGCGTTCGAAAGTTCTTGGACATAAGGCTCATGCACTTCGGTGCTTCGGCTGCGATGTTTTGTTCTATATTTCGTGCCTTGGCCTATCCGTTGATGTGTTTCGAAAATCTCTCTACATCCGACATCGGTGTTTCCAAGTAATATGTGATAAATGTCGTGGTGCATGACATCAGAAGATACAGCGACCGCCGACAACTACGGGAAAATCTCTCTTCCAGACAGAAACAAACCCTTCACCACGTGAGGACAAATGCCCTCGTAAAATTACCTCTGTCAGCTCGCCTTCTCTTGTCATTCCGCGATCTGCACCACCACCACCACCAGCGCCTTCGACCACAACCGAGCCTCAGGTTCAATGTTCCCCACCGTTGGTAGACTCAGACTCGGAACCTACGAAATGCCGCTTCACTGTTCGGTCCGTAAATTTCTCAGAGCCTGTCTGTGAACTTCTGAACACCGAGGATCTATGGACCACTCAAATGCCCAGGTGGCCATGTAATTGACTTCAGGGGTCCCTTGCTGATAAACTACCACCAGGCGTCATAATCCTATGGTCTTCCACGTATCAGAGTCAGAAGATGAAAATCCTCAGCTACGTTATGATCACGATGTTTAGTTCCTCCAGCGGCTCATCGATAGAATTTTGGATGTGGACAAAACACTGTGACGATCAAACAAGTAATCCGACTTGACCAGAAAACTAACCAGTCATGTCGACCACTGCGAATCAACTTTGCGAATCACAGTATGCCGCAGCTCGTCATGTCTCATCTGTCAATACTGAAACGCCTAAAATTTTACATCCTTTGAGACTTAGAAACCAAAGACAGGGATCGTTTGAAGACTGAGATCATTGAGCTCAAACGCCGTACAGAGGAAGGTGAGACTGACTTACAAACTGTAAATTTTCGTGTGCTCAAGATGGGTGTACGAACCGGTATCGAGCGCTTTCTCAACCTCCAGACACGTCTTGCGGTACCTCCCAAGACCTCCGTGTGGCATTCGCCAACTTGTGCAGCCTAATGAACAAACGTGACGAACTGTGCCGCTTCGCTGTCTCATAGCGGCCTTGACGTTTTAGGACTTGCAGAGACCTGGCTGTATTCCGATGTCATAACCCTTGGACGTCGTGTTGTCAGGATATTCTTGTTTCCGACGTGACCGAAAATCAAAAGCTCACGGTGGTGTTCTGTTGTACATAAAATCGTCACTATCTGCTAAAGTTACCAGCAGCTATCGGAGCGAGGACAACTTTTGTGAGCAATTGTGGTGCACAAACCGTCTGAGACGCGCAGAGCGATTAGTGGGTGTTATCTACCCGCTGTTAATCGTTGTGTACTTGGTTCGTTCCCCTGAAGTATTCAAAACTCGGACCTGTCAAACCGCATTAGTTTGATACGGAATATAGAGAGTTAGAGCGACGGCGTCTCAAACTTTGGGATAAATACATCAGCTCGGATTGTGATGAGCATTACACGGTACACAATAAACGGCGAAACTTATGTAACTCCGCAAAGATCAAGAAACTCTGGCAGTTCGAAGAGTAGCTAACATCTTCGGCCACAATATTTGCCTACTTCCAACATCAAGTGAAACCTGGGGGCGACCTACCGGTCTTAGAGACCTTGGATGGACAGACGCTTATTACAAGCGCTCGGACGCCTTGGCTACACACTTCCATACTGGATTTTCCAGTAAACCGGCGGCTGTTCCAGTACCGGCACAGTTTACACCAGTCCTGCTGGACAGCCTACAGTGTGGTGTAGTCGAAGTGTATCAGCTACTCGTCAACCTCGACGGTGCGCCCTGACCAGACGGACTTCGCCCATTAATACTCAAGTCCCTATCGAATATCATCTCACCAGCCGTGACAAACCTATTCAACAAATCACTCTGTGAAGGATCTGTCCCCAACGATTGAAAATGACCGATAGTGAGACCGCTTCCCAAGGGTGTTTATCCGAGTAAAGTAGAGGACTGTAGACCGATCTGTTTGACTTCGGTATTATCCAAATTGCTCGAGGAGGTTGTGAAAACGTGTCTGCTGTGGTTCTTCGTATCGATGGACGTACTGACACCAGCGCAACACGGCTTTACGAAAGGGCGATCATGCATCACCAACTTGATACATGCAAACCACCAGTGGATACGAGCTCTCAACACAGAGAAGGATGTTGACGTAGGGTACATCGACTTTATTAAGGCGTTTGACAGAGTGAACCACGAGGTACTCCTTCGTAAACTGAGGACCTACGGAATCGATGGCACGCTACTTCAGTGGTTACATGAGTTTATTGTGGGACGAATGTTTAGAGCACAGATCACTGACTACCTGACAGACTGCTTCCCATCGACCAGTTGCGTGCCTTAAGGAACTGTACTTGAGCCAGTATTATTTTTTATTCTTATCAAGGATCTTCCGTAGCAGCTCCAGTCACCATGTGCCCAGTTTGCAGATGATTTGAAAATCTGATGGATCATTGAGAACCAGAACGACTGCGCTCGCATCCAGCATGATTTAGAGTGACTGTCAACGCGGTCCACTGAAATGCAACTCTCTCTTAGCGCTAGGAAGTCGGAGTTCATCAGTATCACCAGATGTCCAACCACTCGATCATACACCTTGCAAGGCCAGTTGCTCCACCCCAACGCATCTGTCAGAGACTTAGTAGTGCTCTCGCGACATGATCTGAGATCCCTAGGAAATACAGAGAAATGGTACTGTGCGGGACTTCGTATGCTCTGGGCATTAAGACCTGGTTTCTCCACGTGGTCTGAAGAAACCGTCCCTCGTCTATTCTACCCGCTCATTAGACCAATCTTTGAATACGGTGCTCCAGCTTACCACCCGATAACCCAGTGAGATATTGAAAAGCTGGGGAAAGTACAGCGTATCGCAACTAGAATGATACCAAGTCTAAGAAAGCTTCCGTATGAAATACGTTGTGAAATGCTCGGACACTACACACTATCCTACTACCGTGTAAGAATTGACCATATTATGACACATCGAGTACTACACTTAAATCACTTCCCTGTACTGCGGCCAATATTTCACCTGCGGGAACCCTGTAACACCCGAAGACACCGTTACAAACTCAAGGTCCCCTGCATAAAAAACCTATCACATCAGCTTTGTATAGAACGTAGAACCGTAAACGTATGGAATACACTACCAGAAGGATTAATAGAGGTCAATTCTGTGAAGTGCTTTAAAACGCGCATCGACGATCATTTCGGAAACCTGCGTTTTTTTGAAACGAATCACATACAATGCCAAAAGAAGACATTGCACACCTGGAAATAATGACACCAATACGGATAAACGATTGACTGACCAAACACAACAGCTGACGATTGGCAACTAACTGTTTTTGATTTTTCATAATTCTATGGAGTTGTACAGAAACCTTTCTACTTGCTCTTAAATACAGTCTCAGTAACACAAGTTAAAAAATATTCGCACAAATTTCATGTTTGTGTGGGTGACAGAGTAATCCGACAGGTCAATGAACCAGCGTTCTTGACAAGGACATAATTTTAGAACGGGAAGAAAGAGTAATACGAAGAGCTGTGGGCCAACACGCGTTATACACGTGTTCATTTGACCCGGATGTATGCGGGTATTCGCAGTTTTGTCAGCACCATCGATGCCGTTCTCGAAAGCATTATCCAAGATTGTGATGTCCAAAATATGTTAACCGCGTGTTAAACGGTCGACTGCCCATTAGTCGCAAGATTGAATTTATGTAGTGTGCAGAATATTCTGATATCCTTGGAATTCTCTTCAAATCTTTGTATAGTGGATTAGAACGAAATATTCTCTGCTTTTCGTAGTGAACTTCGAAATCAGGAGCTTTGTCTCCTTCTTGCGTGTCGGGTACCTAGAGTTCAGACGTGATCACGGTTATCAGAACCGTGCGCATGATGGTTTATGATCCTTAAAGAAGGCACGAGTTCAGCTTCATTCTCCGAAGTCAGTTTGGGTCAAGTCCAGACTTATCCCAATTCTCTCCGTATGTCATCTTTGAGGAATAACCACGTAGCGTTTTCGTAAACTTTTGCTGCGCTATCTCAAAGCATGCTTGTCAGAGTTTTGCACGTTCGATTAGACCAATGAACATTATTCCATACTCGTTTATATAGATGATTTTAGAGCCAGGTACGAGCTTAAGTGAGATAATACGGATGACCTATGTATCCGATGGTCTTCAAAAGATTCAGAATAGTTAGATGTAACGTAATATCGCACACCCATCCAGCGAAGTACCCTGCATTGCGAGATATATGTGCCGCCTAGTAGCAGAGTGTTTGGCTGTACTTTACCTTTGTACGACAGAATATTACACTTGCCCACTCTCTTTTGCTTTATCAGACTCGTCTATTCGCTCCTTATCCGAGTCCGCGATATCACAACGGTGAGGGGAAGAAAAAGCGAAATCCAATCAATGCACACACACGTCGATGCCATCATCATTCACATTATCGCAATCACCAACCACCGTCTTGCATGTGCACAATCTCTCCAACCGTCGCCCCGAGTTTCGAGTCGCAGGCAATTCAATCGACATGTCTAATGCGTCATCACTCACATGCGGATTCGCATGCGTTCTCCAGAAAATTGTTCATACGAGCTGGCTATCTGGACAACTCACACACTTTCGTCAACCGTCGGAAATCGCGTAGACAGCCGAGACACATATCGCAGTCCACGGAGTCTACTGGCATTTACACCGACGGTGCACAATTGTGTATACGCACCCAACCACCCCATTGTTTTTGTACACACCTACCGAAATCTGCCACTTCCCTCATGTCCAGTGTGAAATACGCCGACTACATTGATCCGCAACACGATATTCTGAAGTATCCTGGCGCTCCACCTAATGCCGACCATGACACCTGCTTGTTCCGTAACAAGCATCGCGTGTGTTCCTCCTCCCCCTTCTCGACATGCTCCTCATACGCATCGTCATCAGACCTGTCCGAATCCTCAACATGTGGAACCGATCTTTCAGACACTGCATCTGCCGGCGAATACTCCTTCCCGTTCACGGTGGATGACAACTAAACCTGGAAACCGATATTTTATTGATTTGTTCTCACTTGGGAACAGCATAGGACCTTTGTATTCGTATTCTGCAAAGAGACAGGCTAATAATCTAGGTTGTTTGTTAATATTTCTCGCGATGCCAAGCGTACCAACAGATATATGGGACAGTTTGCCGAAACATGTTTTAAGGTTATTTTTCTCAATGTAAAGCCCTCTCAACATGAAACGTGATACAGTTAAATATATTTGAGCTTTTATTTATCTTCCTGTTCATTTTGTTCTTTAAGCCAATGCATCTTCATCTCATCTCTTCATCTGTCGACCACGAGCCTTCCCGCAGTTTCGTACAAAAAAGATCTTATCGCTAACCATTTTGAGTGATTCCTGGTTCCATAGTTGTTGATCTCTCTGATTATTTTCGCCGCTACTTTAATTAAAGTCGTGAGTCACACATATAACTATAGGAATCGTGTATTTCGGAGTCAATATAAGACCAAAAAGTCCCTTTTAACTAATTATACATAGAATAAATCGAACGTCGTGGTTTGTGGGGTGACATCGTTCTGTGCATTTTTATCAATCATCTACGTGCAACAGTTATAGGAAACAAACACGGTGTCATATATGGTCCTAAATGACTGAGAATATTTCGGATTGCATGGGATTTTTAGTCAGGTGTCGTTTAAGTCCATTGCTGACACACCGATGCAGAATCACCTGCAATGTACTTCAAGTAATCAAAGCCCACACGTTTCAATTAACCACCCACTACTCCTCCGACTAGCGAACCGATGGAACGTGAAGGTGTATGGAAGTCAATAGACTTCTCACTGCTAACGTCAACTTGACACCGGTGTAATCCACCATCCAGTTTACTTTGATTAAATATACACCCATTTCTTCCTATTTAGTAGGTGCAGTCTCGTCGTTCCGTCTTTTAACAATGCGTGCGTGAGTGAATCCGGTCCAGCACATAGCAGGAACGGTCAAGGTGTCAGAGCGTTTGGAGGCAGTTGGATAACAACCGAGAACCCGAAATAGTGACACGCAAATGTTGCGGCCAAGTAAATAATTGAACAATCCATTCTGGGACTGAAGTTCCGTCCCCCAAACAACAGGATTTTATTGGATTTCGTTATCTCTCTGAGTGCTGTGATTTTCTCAAACATGCATACCTCTGGTACGCATGATTCTTCGGCTTTTAACTTTTCGGGGCTGCAATTACGTCTAGCCTGGTAGAAGAGCCGAAGAAGAGATTCCACGCAAGACCCTAATTGCTAATGGATCTCCTGAGAAGTGTATTCAAGTACACAGCAGACCTCCAGTGTGAAAACACAGGTGCTGACGGCTGAGAAAAAGGATGTTTATTTGTTCTTGCCGTTCAGGGGGGATCTTGTGGCAAATGATATCGGACGGAATCTCCGGTGCGCCCTGACGCGCAACTACACGACAGCACAGTTGTGGCTCAGGCATACCACGCGACAGTCCACACACTAGGGTTCTTTCCCCGAAACGACGGATATTCAGCAACCCAACATCAACGCGGTGCTCCACACGGACACCGTAATCATAAGCAACTTCAACAGCACATTATTGTGTTTAAGTATATAGTAAACAGCAGGGGCTAGAATACAGCCTTGTTCTACACCGAAGACAGCGGCAAAGTCATCCGAGGTTTATCCACTCCACTGCATCCTCGCCCACATACCAAATCGCACACACAATTAAACGTGCAGATTTACCCAGCCAATCAAACTTACCCAGCAGCAGCGGCGGTAACTCGCAGTTCACCGTGCAAACTGCCTTGGTGTAGTCTACAAACAGACAGTAAACTGGCTGGTGTCTCTCTCGGCATTTTTCGCGCAACGGACGAGTAGCGAACCCCATATCTTTGGTGTTGCAACCCGAACGGGATCCGCATTTCTCTTCCACCACGTTCGGTTCCACAACAAGCAAAGATCTAATTGTAGATTACTGACATAAATTCAGGACTTCTTATTATTACAGTAGTCGTGAACAAGCTTCGCAGATACGCTTTTCGCGCATTCCTTCAGGTAATAGTACTGAGAACACGAACCATCGTCAAATTCCCTCTCTATGTTGAGAACTGCCAATCCGTGAGCCTTGTCTAGTTCATTGATGATTGAATGTAGTTCGTTATAGACTTGCGTTTTGAGAATGCGCTCTCACAGTTGGCAAATGCTAGTAGTTCGGGTAAGAAATATACGCAGCAGGTTCCCCAAGTTGATATTTCTGTATGAGTCCCGAAAGCTCAGGAGGTCCATTAATTTTGTCGTTCCCTGAATTTTACACAAAATACTACAATGTTCTCCTTTCGGCAAGGAATTCCTCTTTTGCTATATCTTCGTCGACTTCACTAAGCGGACAACCATAGTTATCATCAAGCTGATTGAACGGTGTAAGAATAGCACAACTGTTTGCAATGGCATGAATTTGCTGAAACTATGGCGCTTTATCCATCAGATACTATAACAGACAGCATGTCCCGTTTTAACTCAACATCAAATTCCGTCGATATATCAAACAATTACTCAACATCCGTTCGTTTCCACTGGAGGATTCGCCGCTTAAATCTTAATCCCAATTCAGCGTAGTGTTTTTGATTTTAACCTTTGCAATGTGCACCATTTTGTCTCCGTTCTGAAGAAGGCAAGCTCTTAACGCTGTAAGCTTGACAGAACTTCGCTGCAGATCCAGCCCATTTGTTTAGGCATTCTGGGCTACCTTGTCTTTTATGAGAACAGACCGCTAAGTGCTCAGAAAGGGAATAAACGGAAACGACAATACCGAGATGAGAATTATAGATGCAGCTGGTTACCTTTTCTCCTTATTCTGTGAAATGTTTCAGAGAAGTGATGAGTTGTGTGTATTTCTTCACCACCACAATTACGGCGCCTGCTCGACCACTCCATCTAGATTTTACAGTCACTTGATACCTATGCCGGGGACCTGAATTAAGACGTTCAAGTAATCTTTATATGAAAATAGAATGATAAAATCCGGTCCATGATACCAAAAACGTAACAGCATGAACCGTCGCAGGGGCTGCATGGACACCGAGAATGATTTGTGTACGACTTAAATGTAGCATTTGGGCTGATTTCACGGGTACGTCTCTGGACACCCATGCGTTAGCGCGCCATTACAGCACCATTGTCAAATTCCTGGCCACAACGGTCGTTAATCTACATTTCATTCTTCTCCTATTCTCTAAAACCCAGTCCAGAAATTTCCTCTGCTACTTTGCAGTTGGTCGCAGCGAAACCTCGAAACAATTTCTCTACAGTCACCATTTTCATTCAGCTGATTTGTGTGAGATACATCGGGTGTGCTATCGAAAATTTACTAAACATACTTGCTTTCCCTGACTACATCTGTGACTTTCTTGCTCACATGATATACGAAATTGCTCACTAATTCCTTTTGAGCATGTGGCGACAAAGAAAATGTGCTGCTTTACATTCCCAGCTGAAGTGCCATCATATGTTCGCGGAGAACAGGCTCATACTTGGCCAAGAAATATACAAAATCGAAAAGTTCGCTCTATTTTTGGCCCCTTTTGTCACCCTGCATATCTTATCGGTGGCCACACAGCGTCATGCTTTGCTTAATATTTTAGCTAAAAGTTCACGCCACCACTTTTCTACAACTATTTGCTGCATTGTGTCAAGTATATTTCCTTCAACTTAGGGAATGACCGAGCACACTAGTTACTAGATTCGTATTCACATGCTTTTGGATTTAGTTTTCACAAATCGAAAAATTAGACTATTCTATCGAAAACGTCCTAAGCCGAAAGCAAACAGCGCCACTTTTGAAGGAGATCACGCCATGCGTGTTCGCAATGTTTGCTCACAGTTCCGCGAATCCCGAAAAATCAGTTCGTTGTTAGCTACTTAGCCCCATATCTGCATTCGTTCCAGACAGCGCCACTTATTATATTCCTAATCGACGTGCTGCCAGATAAGCATAGTAAGAATTTCATGAACGATGTTATCCGTTCGTTGGCAGACATCCATGTAGTCGACTAATGTGACTTTTATCCTTCTAAATTGTGGTTGCATTTCAAATTATTCAACTTCGCGCGTTTCTTCTGCATCAGCATTGCAAAAATTTCCCGCCTGCATCCATGTTGTCAATATCGCCTTCGGTTGCCCTTGTAACACGGTTTGTAGTACCAAATTTATCTGCGGTCCCAATAAGATTATCCTCCTTCGTTTTGACCATTTCAGCTATGGGATTAATTTTGATGAATTTACACCTTGTATTAAACAACCATCTGCACTAAAACTGCCGCAGCCTGTCATATTCCGCTTGGGGCGCCTTGTCACCCACCTCCTGCATGCTACTTCTCTGTATGTGGGCTGAGATACTGCCAGGATGCGCAGAATTGTTTGTCCCGGCTCTTGGCTAGAAGAAGGGTTTATCCCAACTCGCCAGGAGGTATCGTTTATATCACAATTCTACGGCACAACTTTGATAACAGCGGGTCAACTATCCGTCCGGACATAGCCAACAAAATCCTCGGCGAGGCATATATATATATATATATATATATATATATATATACGTTTTATTCCTTGATAGTGATGGCTCAATCCAACTGAGTAGACTGCTCCACTTGTACATCAGGATGGCATAACATAATTGATTTTTGAGGTTTTGTATAACGGATCCCTAATTGGTTTCTGAAATGGATGGCAGTTTCATAGTATTTAAGAAAGTGTAAAACTGAGAACAAAAACAAATCCAGATGTAACCAACTTTCAAGTATAAGCTCATGCGTGGAACGGGCCCCACATGCAGAAATGAAGGTGTCCAGGGGTAGCGGAATGTGCTCGGCAGCGGCACCAAATTCTATTAAATGTCCATTTCAAAGTGGCTTTCTGCAGTGAACTAACAGCCTGTAAATCTGAAATGGGAATGAGCCACAGTCTGAGTGGCGATCCACGGTGTAATGTAGTGTACCGAAAATCACGCTGTTTCAGTATTTTGCAGCATTGGATTTTACGGTTGTTGTAACCTTCAAAACGTCCGCTTGTTTTACTGACTACACATCCGTTGACACAAAGCGTTTTGGTGAGTACCTTGCTGCACCTTTCATGCTCTGCATGCTTAGCTTCGTATTTTTGTAGCCTGCACAATACACATTGAGTTCAGT